CGGCCCCGATAGATAGCTGTTCCCTTTTGGGTTGAGGAGCTGGAGCTAGTTTTGTTTGGGCGGCAGAGACTGGGCCGTTTATCCCGTTTTGGACAATACTATGCTCAATTTTTGCCTTAAATTTGTACTTATTTGGAAGCAGGATTCGTGGAGCACCACGAATCCCGCTGGCATTTCTAGAGCTAGATCGAAATTCCTTGTCATTCAAACAGTAGCTAAATTCTAAATTAAGAGAACATGCAATTCGAGTTGAGACTTTTGTCTCACTAGGAGAACAGTGCGATAACGGTAGCATTTTAAAATCGTTTCTTTTCGGAATCCATTGTTCTTACAAATTTTGTAGATTCAGTTTTAAAAGCCTCTAACTACTTACCGTATACCCGATCGGGAAATCGACTTGTTCCTCTTGTCCTTGTTGCCATTTACACGAGACATGATAAAAAGTGAATAAGAGATGATGTCCATCAGAGAGATCCCAAGGGATTGCGATCTTGATCTCATCGGATAATTCGGGGGTTCTATAATCAATCGGATAATCAATTCAAAGCACAGCTCAGAGCACAAACTTATTGTGATAGATGACTGTTGTGAAGACTTGAGTACTCATTCGAATATCGGCTGCATTGTTGAAGAAAACTCTGTAAGTCAAAAGAAATCAAAAGAAATCAAAAGAAAGTCTAGAAAACTTTAACTACTCTAACTATTCTAGTAATCTATTTTTAGAATAAGTTTTAGATTTCACTTTTTTTTCACCTTTGTGGTTCTTCCTTTTCATTCATCAACTCGATTTTTATGGCGATATTTCTCGCGGTGCCTGGTCGGCCGCTCAGATTCACCGATTTCGGATAAATGTAGAGAAGATTTCTAAAGCTTGAGAATAGATTTAGCTAGTTATCTAGTTAATTGATATCTAGATAAAAACCTAAACTCACCTATATCCAGAGTTCACCGCGTATTGCCCTTTGCTAGGAAACTCGAGGATGTCCTTTGTCAACTCTGCGCCCTGTCCGCCCAAAAATGGATTGATTCTGGAATTTTTTTTCTTTGAATAAATGCTATTGTAACTTATAAAATTTAGATTTCAGAATGAAAAATTAATAAAAAACCTGAGCATTTCGGGGCTAAGCCTCGTGAGGAGATCCTCGGCGCTTTGACCTCGATATTCCAATGTCAACACGCATGGGAAGGTTTTAAGTTTGCTAAAAGGAAATAAAATTTAGATTTTATTTAGATTTTATTTAGTGAAAAGTGTTTAGATTCTTTAAATTCAAATTCCCCTCACCCCAACTTTCCACCACTTTTGCGAGCCTCGGCTAATAAACGGAATAGCTCCTCGTCAGAGATTCGATCAGATTCTGAAAGAAAAGATGAATATCTTGATATAAAAAAGATCTCTATAACAAGAAAAGATATAAAAATCGAATATTATCTGTTAAACATTAAATCTATTATAGAAATATCATAGTTTTAGATTAATTTACGATAAAAATTCTTTATCTTATCATTGGACAATCATGAATCACAAGAATTCATGATTGCCTTCAAGAGTAAAAGAAGCTTTAGAGAGCTTCAAGAGTAAAAGAAGCTTTAGAGAGCTACAAAGTAAAAGAAGCTTTAGAGAGCTTCAAGAGTAAGCAGTTAAGTCAGTTAAGCTTTTAGAATCAAAAAAGATTTCAAAGTATCAGAAATCAGTAAAAGAAATTGTGTAATTTTCTAAAATTCACTCACTTGTCTATAAAAATGAGTATAGGTTCGGTGAAATGGTTGCAAATTCGCGATTGAGGGTTCCGGTTTTGAAACGGGATGAATCGAGGCAGATTGGCTTTCGAGATCTTCGCTTCCACCCAGAAATTTTCGTCTAAAGTTGACTCTTTAAAAAAAGTAAATAGCTTAGACTTGGCCATTGATGTGTCATGGATAAAATTTTTGTTCAAAAATTGGTTGCTAGACGTCGTAATGATCGGTATGCCTACAGGGTGTCCGAAGAAGAAAAAGTCACTTTGTGTCAAATTTCTAAAGAACTTTAAGTGGCTCAAAGTGGTAGGTATGGTGCAAAAATGATTGTTTTGGTGTTTTTCATGATTTTCACCATATCATAACTCCCAATACAAGAAATTTCTGAGCTACCATGGAAATTTTTGCTCTTTTGACATACCATGATCCCCAATACAAGAAATTTCTGACAATTTCTGAACCACCATGGTTACCACCACCATATAGGCTACCATCATGAGACTTTTGCCATAAAATTAAAACTTTCTACTGGCATCGTGGTGCATAATAAACGCTATTAGGATAACTACAAATTTAAACTATACACTTTATTGTTCAGCGTTTCCTTGAAAAACGGGACACTTCTTTACAAAAGGCGAATTGAAAATCTATTATGTATGACGGATTATCATATAATGAAGATGAATAAAACTTTTGGCTAAAAATCTTAGTTTATATTGTAACTCTAATATGACACCACGATGCCTGTAGAAAGTTTTAATTTTATGGCAAAAGTCTCATGATGGTGGCCTATATGGTGGTGGTGATCGTGGTGGCTCAGTAATTGTCAGAAATTTCTTGTGTAGGGGATCATGGTATGGTAAAAGTCATGGCAAAAGATCAAAATTTCCCGACCTCAAAAAATAATTTTTGCACCACATTCTGAGCCACTTAGAGTTTTTTTAGAAATTTGACGCAAAGTGACTTTTCTTTTTCGGACACCTTGTACAGTTGGCCTCACTACAGTATGCACCGTTACAGTATATTTGAATATAAAGTGCTCTTATTGAAAAGCTTCTCAATATTTAATTAAAGTTCAGTTCAGTTAAAGTCAGAATACTGTAATATAGGGATATTGTAACTCAGAGCTTTCCTGAAGCTTTCCTGAAGCTTTCCTGAATCTTCTAAAATTTCCTTGACACACCAAAAAGCAAGTCATAACTTTTGATAGAATTCTCAAATAAGCAGTGCTCAAAAAGCTATAAGGTTTAGAGTTATAAACGGGGAAAGAAAAAAGCGAAAATGTTAGTTGAAAAGAAAGTGTGTGGATTACCGTAACAGCGGACTCCTAGTGGTCATTGAACTGGAGAAAAGATTACGGTAGAAGGATTTATGAAATAGAAAATGATTACCGTTGAAGTGGAGTGCGCACGCGGTTGAGTACGGTGCTCGCCGACGTGCCTGAGCCCATTCGACGGAAAGTTGAGGCGGTCGAGATGGAGATACGGTCTGCAATTGAAATCAATTGTATAACTGTAACAAATGAATAAATTGAATAAGTTACGGTAAGGTTTTCAAAAGTTGATCCTTTTTAAAAGTTGATCCTTTTCAAAAGTCTAGAGCTGACTCTTTTCATTTGCTCAAAATGAAACACACTTTCTGGCAAAATGAATCTGAATCTGAACGATCTCAGATTCAGATCTCTTTCTCCTTTAAAGCTCCTTTAAAGCTCCTTTAAAGCTCCTTTATAGTTCCTTGATAGTTCCTGTTTAGTTCTTTTAAAGCTCCTTTCAGCTCCTTTATAGTTCCTTTATAGTTCCTATTTAGCTCCTTTAAAGCTCCTTTAACTTGAAACTAAGAACCAAAAATCTGTTTCTCTTTCTCTTTCTGTTTCTCTTTCTGTTTCTGTTTGCGCCAGTGTTTCTTTTTGTTTTCCTTACCAGCACTAACAATACTTTCAGTCTCTCCAGCCAGTGATGCCAACGGTGCCAAATCGGATTCTGAAATTGATAAAAATAGTATTCAAGATGAAGCTGATCTAATCAAATGATCCAAGTTGATCATTAGCCTCTAAATCTTGAAGCATTCGAATCTTGAAGCAACCCAACCCTAATAAGCAACCGATTCCCCTCACCTGCCACAAGTCTTTCTTCTCTTTCAAGACTCTCAAAGCCTCTCTCTGAATCACAAAACGTTCGCCACAAATCGATCACGAGAAAACCAAGAGGCATTCGATAAGAACCTAAAGAAGTTATCGATAGAAATATAAAGAATTTACCCAATCTCTGGCAGTTATTCCTCGCCATTGCAGCCATTTTCTCTCTCGCTTTCTCATCTCGAATCCCATTTGCATAAGGCTCAGATGCATCGAAAACATCGCAAGCTTGGAGGACTTTTTCGAGCTGAAAAAGAGATGATAGATATTGACTTGAATCTTATCTTGATCTACTTTGAAAATGCTTAATACAAGTTAAAAACGTCACCCAACACATGACCTTTGCTTGCTGAGCAGTACAATTGCCATTTACTCACCCTGACAACGATGAAAAGATCATGAAGTGATGTGTTTAGATGAAAAGCGGCTTGGTAACATTTTTCAATTGCTTCATCAGTGGTGAGAAATGGGAAAGCGGGATCGGCCGGGTATTGAGTCATCATCGCTCGAAGATGCGGTGGGTTGACGTCGAAGTGGAAATTCTCCGTCACCTACGTAATAGATACATAAGATACGTAATGCTACGTAACACTACGTTTCGTACGTACTAAATAGTATAGGGAAATACTAAATAGTACGTAAACACTACCGTTTCGTACTTACTAAATAGTAAATAGGAAATTCTCCGTCACCTACGTAATATATATGTCGTAGCCGATTATGAATGAATGGGTCTAGGAGCGTCCAACCATCAAGTATTTGGTATCATTTAACGCAGAATCATTAATAATTATGTTAAATTTTTTAAATTAGAAAGATTTGATAAAAAGAAAAAAAATTAGAGCAAAAAAACTGTTTGTTCAAGAGGAAACTTTGAGGCCCCATAATTTTTTTTCTTTTTATCCAATCTTTCTAATTTTAAAAATTTAACGTAATTATTAATGATTCTGCGTTAAATGATACCAAATACTTGATGGTTGGACGCTCCTAGACCCACTCATTCATAATCGGCTACGACATATACATAAGATACGTAATGCTACGTAACACTACGTTTCGTACGTACTAAATAGTATCATCTTATGTTTATATAAGTTTATATAAGTTTATATAAGTTTTTCTCTTCCACTCACAAACCTTTCTTTTTCATTTTCGCATCGTAGAGAGCAATTGAGCCGAAGATTGGTTCGAATGAGGGCTCGATGTGAAGCTGGAAAGTTATTGATAGTAAAGAAATGAAATCTAGATTTAATTATTCTAATATATAACTTTTCGACAGGCATTAATAAAATCCCCAACCTTAACAACTTTGATAATCAATTTGTGCGAGCCGCGCTCCTCGGGAAACGGGGGAGAGCTTCCTTTCTCGATCACATCGTTCTAAAAAAAATATTTACATTTTATCCATTACAGATAATAAGATAATAAGCATTTCTATAGTTTTACTTCATCTTGTGGCGGTAAAAGATTGACGAGATTTTGCTGTTGTCGACCCGTCAATCGCCTCGCCTCATTCGACGCATCCATTTGACCGGGCGTTAATCGTTGAGTGATATCTACAATTATAGAAATATGTCTTATTGCAGAAATAAGTACAGGCTATAAAAACTTTAAGATTTTTTGTATATTATTTCCTAGACTTGGCTTACAATATCGGCATCGTTAAGATTTTGGTGTTAACACGTTGACGACAACGCACAAACAATGTCCCAGGCGAACGAATATGTGTCAGACAGCATCAGGTGACAATGTCGTCAACGTGTTAAAGTGCCAAGCACCAGTGGACTTGCTAGCCTTTGCTTTCCAGCAATTATACCAGCATTTACCGTACTTTAACGATTATAAAAATCAATACCGTACCGACAAAGCCTATTCAACTTACTGGGGATAACAGGATCCGGTTGCGAGAGGTTGAGACGCGATTCGACTTGTGCATCACCGCTTGCTAAAAATATTGATGGGTAAATCTTTCTAGGAAACTGTTTCAACTGTTTCAACTTACCTTTCAAAACCGAACCTAGCTACAAAACGCCCCCGTAGATTTTTATTTTTTTCCCCATAGGCCCTAGCTTTCGAGAAAAACATGCCCAGAGTTGCAGCAATTTTTGGCAAACAACCACCTCAAACAACTCCCTCACCTATAAGAGGGCCCTATGCCGACAAGCAGGAAGAGCAGAGGTAGAGGCAGGATAGTGTGCTAGGTTGCAAAGGCTATGCTATCTTTCCCCACGGGTTCAATCTCTCTTGGTTCAATTAACACTTCGATTCGGTCCAAGTTTTTCCTTTTTTTGCATTAGAGTGTGTTCCTTGTTTTTAAAAGGCACTTAGTTTAAACAGCTATTACAGTTTAAACAGCTATTACAGTTTAAACAGCTATTACAGTTTAAACAGCTATTACTATCAATCAAGCAGTCAGCTATTACAAAATTGGGCCGATTTTGAATCACAAAAGCTCTGGTACCAAAATTTGAGCCTGATCAATAAACTGACAATATGATTTTTCTTCAAATCGGTGTCTTTTAGGAAACACTTTAGGAACAAAGCAAATCTTATTGAATTTCTGCTTACCCATTGTACTCGAATTAAAATAGTTGATGCGTATGAGTGTCTCTTTGACTCTTCGGTTTCCACCAAACTCGCGCTTCTCGTTAAACGATCACTCAAGATGCTTTCATTCTAAAATTATTATTTAAAACATTTATAGTAGATAAAATGGATTAAGTTAAGATGTAAATAAATATAAACATACTGACAATAAATATATATTTAAAAATATTAACCCTTTTTTAATATTTTTTATAATTTTTAATTTAAGACAATATAATATTAATATTTTAAATAGTAAAATGTAAAAGAGTTTAGAACCGAATGAAGATTTTTAATATATATTTATTTCTTTTTTAATGTCGTAACCGCTTACGAAATTCAGCCTGAAATTCAATCACTAAGAAGATTCCAGATGATTCCCCAACGAAATTAGCCCAACGAATCATTCGTTAGCGGCTGAATTTCGTAAACGGCTACGTAACATATATCTTAGATTTATATCTTAACTTACTTCAAAATTGTGCATTGGTGCATTCCGGGCGACGATCGGTCTCTCGATCAACATGCGTACATAAGCGTCACCGCTGCCGAATTGTTGATATCTCAAATTTACAGATTAACATATAAAATCAGCATTTCTATTATCTAATTTAAAAAATTTGAAATCCTTAAGGCATTACCTCCTTTGAACGAGGGAGAAAGAGTCGCTCAACGCTGTCGCCACATCGCGCACATGTGGATCCACTGTCTCTCTAGAAATTTTGTTAATTTTGATGATAGATAGCACAATAGGATATCTAGAAAACTAGATTTATCTATTATTTGTTTATCTTTCACTTACAAATTGAGATCAACATTGACGGGCGGGTCAAGCGTCGGCTGTTCTCGAGCCACGATTCGCACCTCGACATCGTCTGCCGGGAATTCACTGACCCTATAAGGGTTTGAAGTTTTAATGCTAATTAGCTGGGAAATCAGGTTTTATAACTGAAAATCTATATCTAAAAAGCTCATATCTAGAAACATTTGACTTTTGATCAACAAAATTATCTATTGGATCTTTTCCCTTACCTCCGCACTTTCATCAATTGAAAAGCTCCACTTAACATAGGATAATATGTAAATTGAAGCCATAAAATATAGCTAGATAAGAATTTCAGATATATTTTTAGGTACTTTTTACTATTTTTGGCCATAATTTGCATTTTTTCTTTTCATACTATCACAAATAACTTTTGTGAAGAAATGTAAAATTTATTCGAAAATAGTAACATTCTATCAGCTTTTTAAGTGAATATTTGCAATAAATTGGTTTTATCCAAGCTTGGATAGATACTTTCCGCCCTTTTGCCTGTAAGGTACTTGTTACTGCATAGCTATAGCGTACTTGTTACTCTATAGCCATAGCGTACTTGTTACTCTATAGCTATAGCGTACTTGTTACTATTTTGGACACTATTTTTTAGTTATCGATGAAAAGTATAGTTGAAAATAGTAAAAAGTACCAATTTTTATGTAATCCAACTCCTTCCCTCGGGCTAGCCGTTGATGTTGTGTCATAGAGAGAGCTCGTCTTTCGATGGCTCAACACCTCTTCAACATCCACTGGATCAACCACATCCAATAAAACCACCTACAATTTAATCGAACAACCTATTTGGAAATAGAAAGCTTTGGATATAGTTAGATTCCTCTTGATGCGCGGTTTTAATTACTGCTTTCTAAAGTGCTTTCTAAAGTCTGGATGCGCTACCGTACCCCAAATAAAATCCCCTTTTTGCCATTATTTTTCATTTTTTTCATTCCATCGTGGATGTTGCCCGGTTTTTTTATGCCAAGTCCCGCATAAGTTTTTTCCCTTTCTGTAAAATCTATTCTCCTTTTTGTAGCGCGTTTTAATTATGATGTTATCTTGTTAATAATTATTTTATCTGTCTCCCCAAATTCCCTTCCTGTTATATTATTCAGCCCATGTTTCCTGTTTAAATTTCTAAAATGATTTGTTTCGTTTCTCTCGGCTTCCTTCTACTCCATTGTCTTTGAATCTTTTTGTGCCGTATAAACTTAACTTAACCAATTGTTTTTCAACTAGAACGCACAAAAGTCTCACTAATCATATCGGCGCATTCTTCTTGAGTCTTGTGTCTAATTATTTTAGAAAAAGGAGAGTAAAAAGGTATTTGGTAAATTTAAATGGTGACTAGTTATATAACTATGTTTTAAGTATTGTCTTAAATTAAAATCTACCGTCGATTGAGTGTTTCCATCAGTTTGTTCGTGTTGTGCCGCAGCCGGATGGCCGATTAAACTTCCCAGCCATGATGTGCCGGCGAACATCGGCCGCTGTCATTCTGGAAGGAATTGTCATTCAGTTTTTTCGTTTTCTCTGTCCACTTTTTAGAAAAGAGTTTGTTTATGTAGATATTTATTGGTATCATTGGCTATTCAAAAGCTAATTTTCTAGGCTGCAAGCTAAACCGGGGCCAGAGGACCAGGGCCAGGACCAGAAGCTGATCCTTTCTCTCTTCCCCCTTATATTTCCTCTTTCTTATCTAGCCAAGAGATACTGAATAGCTCAGTGGTTAGAGCATCTGCCCAGAAAGCGAAAAAGGTTGAGGGTTCAATCCCCTCCGGAGATCTTTCTTTTCATTCCTTATTTTACTTTATTACAGCTCTAGAACCCGGGGCTTGATTTGGTGTATGAAAAAATTCAATCCTATCTAATAGAAGATTTAAGTTCATTTATAAGTTTCATTAAACCATTTTTCATCATTTATAAGTTTTATTACGCCATTTTTTTTAATAAACCGACTTATTTCTTCGGCCCACAAACGGTCGTGTGCCGCTCAAGCTCGAGATCGTTGAGATGTTCATTGTTTTTTGATTTCTAGTACTTCGTTATCTCATCTAAAAAGCGAACATTAGATTTGATATGCAAATTTAATAAAATTTAGACAAAGAAAGCGTAAAGTAATAACTGAACAAAAAAATTTAGAAACCGGTTCCGCCAAATAATAGAAATGGTTTAAATTTCAGATTGAATCTGTTTTTGGCTTCAAAACATTCGTACAAAACGATAAAACGAAATGATTTGGTTGGAATGAGTGAAATTTTTTCGGGTTCGCTTCACTTAAAGTGGCGTTGACGACAGGAAATTGCCTCCGATATGTTACGAATTTTTGTGCGTTCTCTGCGTTTTCTCTTCTCCTTTTCACCTTTCACAGCTGTTTGATAGGGTCACTGCTGAAGAGAACTGGTTATCTGAACGGAATTTGTATTCACGTGTGCTTTTAAAACTTGTAAAACTCATAGTCAGTTTTTGTCCAATAAAGTGTGAGCAAATGGGATCCCGGTGTACACTTTTTGGACTTGGAAATTGGAAACACACTGGCGTAATCAATTTGTCTACTTGTACAAAAACTTAGTTATCTTCCTGGAAGAATCGAGTACACCAGAAGGGGTGTGTTTACAGATTTAAGCACAGAGTACATCCATAAGGTTGACTTTATTTACAAGAGAAGATCACAAGGTTGAGATGACCAAATGACATGCGCCATATACCATACGACGCAGAATTTTACGCTGATTCCGATGATGCTATCCGTTTTTACAAAATGACCCTGAAACGCTAGGAATCTGAACAAGTTTGAGGTCAAATTAGAGGTCGAATCAAATTAAATCAGCCCCTATATAAGGCTTTCTTCACCACCTGGAACTTTTAGCTTGGGGTGTAGTGGATAAGAGTCTTGTATCCGAAAGGGGCCATCAAGACTTTTGTCGGATTCGATCCCTTCCTCTTGTTTTCATTTTATTTCGATGTTTAACCATTAGAATTCGCTCTATTTTAAGTTTAAAATAAGTATTATGAAATCTTTTTTAGCCTTGTGGACCTTCCTTTACTTAAAAATGCTAGCTACCGTGCTCGATCTAAAGTACCACTACTGTAGATGGATCCTAAAACTGTAGAGTACTCTAAAACTAAAACTACAGTATCCCTATCCCTCAAACTATCTTTACAGCGTCACTACAGCAATTTGCACGGTGTTCTGCAGTCACAAGATCCTCCTTGTAAGTAAAGATACATCGATTCTAATTGTAAGTCGATTTTTCCTGTGGTGAGCCAGAATTTCAAAAATACTTAAAACAAGCTCAAGAAGTTCAATGCCAAATGTCAAGTGTTATAACACTTGAGACTTTCGGACACTTGCTTTGAAACCAAGCAATTCGACAATGTTGAAAGTATGGATAAAGTTTTGAAACAAAAAAAGAGAATGAGCCGAAGTTCAAGGGCTTCCCTTTCTCTTGACCATTTCGACCGATAGAGGATCGTCCTTTTCTTCTTTTCTTTTTCTTCCCCCACTTTAAGTGACCACTTCAAATTTACCCGATTTTTGTTCATCGAAATCACATTTTTATTCTTTTAAGAGTATAAAATAGGAGAATTTTTTTTATAAATAATTTTTATAAATATATAAAATAGGAGAATTTCCAGAATTTTCTTGTATTTTCGTTTTATTTTTGATCGTTTCTTTACTCAAACTAAGCAATTTGATCTCTCACTTTTTTTTTGTCGATTTTTAGAGATGCTTCATTTAGAGATGCTTCAGAGACCAGTTTTGAATTTATCGAAATTTTGTTTGTAAATTCGAATTCAAAAACTCGATGCTACTTGTTATTGGCATAAATAAACTTTAGTTGCTCAGAGAATCTTGTGACTGCAAAACTCTGTGTAAATTGCTGTAGTGACGCTGTAAAGATAGTTTTAGGAATAGGGATACTGTAGTTTTAGTTTTAGTTTTGGTTTTGGTTTTGGTTTTGGTTTTGGTTTTGGTTTTGGTCTTGGTTTTGGTTTTAGTTTTAGTTTTAGTCTTAGCTTTAGTCTTAGCTTTAGAGTACTCTACAGTTTTAGGATCCATCTACAGTACTGTAGTGGTACTTTAGATGGAGCACTGTAGCTAGCATTTTTCGTAATCCGCTCAAAAATCAAAATGACACTTTTTGTTCTTCACACTTTTACGCTCACAAGAGTCTCGTTGACCGAATTCGTCAAATTTCCTCCAAATTGATCAACCTGGATCCCGAAAAACATTGAAGCTTTACCATTGAAAAGTTTACCGAACATTTCAGTGATCTCCTCGAAGCACACAAAAAAGAAAAAGATCGGTCTGTTCTTATTTCAGAGAAAAAACGATTTCTCTCAAATAATTGACCTTCAACCCCTTCTTTATATCCCTTTTTTTTTTTCATTCTTTAGCTCAATTTGACCAATTTTGTTCTAAAAACTCTTTGAATTTCCCTCTCATTTCGAAATGAAATCGACAAAAAGTCGACAAAAAATGCTCATCAACTTTTCGCCAAATTCCTCGGCTTTCCCCTCGGCTTTTAAGATTTATTTGAACGATTTTAAATCAAAATTTTTTTTTTACTTTAGAATGATACTGTTGATCTTATTTTCTTTTATAAGACTAAAAAAAAAAAAAAAAAAAAAAAAAAAAAAAAAAAAATGTTTATAAAGGGAATTCGTATGGGGATCCCTCGAATTTTCCTCCCGGACAAAATTTGACGTGTCAATCCCAAGCCGTCTGGAACATTCTGTTTTTTCTCCCCCCCCCCCCCCCCCCCCCCCCCCCCCCCCCCCTTTTTTTTTTTTTTTTTTTTTTTTTTTTTTTTTTTTTTTTTTTTTTTCCTCTCAAAATCCCCTTCTTGTGTGGGAATTTTTTACGTACACGATTCCTTAATGATAAAAACATTTTTTGAAGCTTCTTACGACGTTTCCGTTCCGCTCTTTTCAAGCGAAAAAAAAGGTGCGCAAATGTCCCACCGCTAGATTTTAGAAAACGCAAGCTTTTGAAAATAAAACTCAAAATTTCTCGGTTTTCCTGTTTTCAATTGCCAGCGAATTGAACAAGTTTTTTCGTTTTTTTCCAAGTCAAGAAAGGAAAGCGTGTGAAGAACAGTTATCGTTTTTGGGATCTGAGGGGAAAGAAAAGGGGAAAGGGGAGAAAACAAAGCCTCAGGGTCGGCAGGTTTTATATTTTGAGAACACAGAAATCAATTACCTACCGTAAATAATGTAATAGTACCCCACTTCCAAGTACTACAAAAGTACTTTGTAGTAGTGGAAAAGTACTTTGTAGTACTATTTTACACAGTATTATTTGTTTGTTTATCGAAATGTAGAACTATTTTAGCTTATTATTAAGACTATATAGTATTGCTTATTAATGTAAAATAGAAAACTAACTATTTAATGCAGTTATTTAGTACTTAGTAAAGCTAGAGTAATTACCGTAAATACTGTATTAGTACTCCATCCCCCTCGTACAGTCGCGTAGTCGCAAAAGTTTTTTAGTATTTCATTTTTTTTTCAAAGCGTCCGTACTTTCGAAAAATGCGTCTTTGGTATCAAAAAATAGCTGAAATTCAGGGCTATTTTTTGATACCTAAGCGCACATTGTAGCATAAACCAGTGTTGAGAAAAACTCGTTCAAAGCTAGACTACGCAACACTCCGCACCGTCATTATGGGGGTGGGGTACTGTTACAGTATTTACGGTATCTCTACTCCTTTCCATTTCTGATTTCTCTTAAAGTTTTGTATTAGAAAGATTTCGGAATCCTATTTTCAGTGAACTTTTTTAACTTTTTTACTCCTAAAGCAGTTATGTTCACTTTCTGACACACTCGCTTTTCTTGCTTTTTCTTGTAACACTTGGTCAATGAAGAATTAAGTACACCAGAAGAGAAATGCTTAGATGTTTATATTTCAGCACAAAGTATAAAACTTTACGCACTGTTTTAAATCCAGAGCTTTGATGATGGCCAAGACAGTAAAAAGTTTGAATAGAATAATCACTTAATCAAGGTATTATTTTAGATTTAAATTTTGAATGAGCTGAAGTCTGAATGTGAATAAATGTGTAAATGAGTTTTCTGTGATTTAGAGAAATGTTGTTCTCAACTTTTCCCTTTCTTTCTCTTTTTTTCGTGATAACCGATAATCGTTGTCTATTGATGGTTGTCAATGATTTCAGTTTTTCTTTCTTTTCTTTTCTTTTCCTTTCTTTTCACTTTATTTTCTTTTCTTCCGAATAGCGTTTCAAAAGCTTTTCGATTCTTTTTGTTTTCCCTCATTATCACTTTAGGTTTTTGAAAGCATTTTTATTAAATAATTAGATTTTCATGAGATTTAAGTGAAAAAAAATTCAGTGATCATCAGTTGATTTTTAAATGATCATCTCTATCTCTATCTCTGAGTATCTCTATTT